TGTCTCGACCGAATTCATGATATAATTTATTGTTTTTGTGTTACGACTGAAAGGAAAGTGAAGTTGAAATGCGTTTCGCAATTTTGCATGAAAAATTCAATAAATTTAAATGACCGACACTTGCAAATTTGGCTCCTAACGTCTTTTGTATTCTATATGATATTTGTGTTTACTTCGTTGGGATTGCAGGAGCGAATAATAATAATGGTAGTAAATACTAACAATGTGATGAAAAGCTTTCTTCATTAATAAGAATCCGAAAACACGATGGGGCAGCATGGAAATCATTGTTGAGATCAGTATGGGGAAACCAATATCAGAACCAATATCGGAACCAATTACTTACGCGAGGGCATTAGTCAATCTTGTTCGAGATACAGAGTGGCGTTATTGTTATTACACCTCTCCCGCGAGACCTCCCACACTTGTCCGCGGTAACGTACGTACGTGCATTCGGCGGCCATCGCCGAGAGAGTGGCGGAAGTTATTCCTGTCGTTGTTCGGATAAGGACATGTGTGTTGGGAGAAGGGGAAAGGTGGGGGAGGAGGGGGGGACGAATCTAGCCGCGTGTCTCGTCGCGAGACGAAACGGCGGGGTGATCCGATAGAACTTCGATTGCTCGTCGAGGGATGATTGTCCCTTGATTGAAAACGTCCTCGAGGACGACGAAGGGTGCGACTGTTCGGGAGGGAAGCGGCTGCGGCGTGTTCCGAGTTTGTGAGCGAGAATGTCTCGTGGCGCAACTATATTCCGCATGTTCGGAAACCGGCGGGACCGTATTTTTTTACGTTGACTTCCCGTGGGGACGACGACGTAGTGCTCCTTCGGAGGGTGACGCCGCGTTTGGAAAGTGGCGCGGTAACGGCAACTAATCAATTTCTGTCCTGTCTTGCTGACTTTCGCGTTTGTCAGGTAGACGTCGCCAAGAGAGAGGGAAAGAAGAAACATCGCTCGTGGCTCGACGCGATTTTTTAGAAAAAAAAAAAAAGAAAACAAACTAGGGAAACTACATCCGCGTCGCCTTGAACGCATATGTTATACATAATAAATGAGCGGTAAGATGCAAAGGTTGTTTTATATCTTTAAAGGTATAGACATTTCTCTGTACGGATCGCTTAAATCTTTTAAATATTCTATTATCTTTCACGATAAGATCATTTCCCATTAAAAAATAACGAATCCTGAGTTTTTTAAGAAACCATAAGAACAGCAAATAATTTGGTCGGGCTGACTTAAACGCATTTACGAAGTTTATTTTTTTCCATAATACATTTGGTTGACGCAAGTAAGAAAAATGTTATATCGTCAACCATGATGTGTGTATTAAATACTTTGGTGGCAGTTACAAAAATAAATTTTTCGATGTACGGGCTCTCTCTTTCTACTTATCTGTCTCGGTTTAATTCGTCCGCTGACGCTATCCACGCGTGACGGGACGAGTTAATAAAATACCTCTTTTCAAGGAAGAGAGAGGAGGGGGGAGGGGGACAAACGCGAGGATCAGAATTTCGTCGCGCGATATTGGAAAGAGTCCGCCCACCGTTCGTGCGCCACTGCGGAGGGTTAAATCCGCGGCACAATGACGCTTAAGAACTTTCCGGCATCCGAGCCGTGAAAAACGCGGGCTATCAGCGACTCGCATTTTTCTTCCCCCTTGTACTCGTAATCGAGACGCATCGCGGCTCTCATCCGCACACACGCGGGAGTCGTTACCTTCTACAGATTGGGGGAAGTTTCGTCGTTTCCCCATATGGCACCGGAGGCACTCTAATCTCCGGACGACGACGGTTTTCAAGTCGCGGACGGCGCGTGTGCCCTCGTGGACAGGATCGATGTATCAAGGGCGAGCGGTCGTTTTTCGGGCTCTAATCATCTTCGAATGCCTCTAACGGGAACGTAATCGAGCAATCGGAACGCCGAAGGGGAGCTCGTCCCCCTGTTTCACATGATATACACACAGAAAAAAGCGCCGGGATCAAGTAAACGTAATTGCAAGGAAAAAAGTGCTAGATTAAAGTAAATAATTACTACAGTGCTCCTGAGTAAATTTTTACTTGAATGCGGCGCTTTCTTCTACGTTCGAGTGATATTTACTTGACCTAATACATTTTTTAATTTTTAACAGAAACTTTGCCACACTGAGGCGGTGAATATATTTAAATTAATCTGTTGGATTTCTCTACAGTTCATTGCTTGACATCTAGATTTCATCAGTTTCCTCTCTCTCTCTCTCTCTATCTCTCTGCATCTCCTGCGGCGACCATTTGACGTCGTGTCATTTCTGTTAACGAAGGGCTGGCGCGATGCGCGCGAAAGTCGTCTCACGGCGCGGGCCGGATATCCCCGATACTCTATTCGTCTTTTCGCCGGATATGCGCGCGATTCCAATGAGAACCGAAGAATATGCACGCGAATGGCGCTTCGTGAAGGGAAATAAGCGCGGATTGTTTTCGAACGGTCGGTATATAACGGGCGGGCGGGCAGGATTTTATCGGAGTATCGATCCAGGGGCGCGGAAAGTCGACGGATCTATTTCCGGAAGCTATATGAAATAAAGCGTCGTGCGTTTAGCGATATCGAGGCCGGGGAGTTATAACCGTAAATATGTTTACGGCGACATAAATTGGCAGTCGCGGATACTCGCGTGCGTAGCTTCTCCCTTTTCGGGCGGGCGGAAGAACGATGAAAGGACAGACGTCCTTCGCGCTGTCTTCAAAGCGGGGAGAAGAAGACTGGCTCGATTTGTCGAAACGATAAGTCCGGGATTCGTCGACGAGATCGACGCCGATGCGGTTCAAATTCGAGAGAACGCGACCGGAATCCCGAGGGCTACCAGTCAGCATCGCGATCCCAAGAATGAGAATATATAATCCGCGGCGCGAGGAGTAATAAACCGCGCGTACGAACACTCGTACCGACACGGGAGTAATCCGATAATCCCATTAGACGGGTTTCCATAAAATCATTAATCGCCAGCTCGCCGCGCCGGTACCGAACGGTTAAACGTGCTCTAATCCTGGTTCGGTATTCACATCGGTTTCGAAGCCACATCCGCACTGCGGTGAAATCAACCGCGTTCACGAGGGCGCGTCTTATCGCCGGCCGGAGATTGCGCATCGCCGAGAGTTTCACCGAGTGTCGTTTGCATTTGAACCAATGCATGCTGTTAGAAACAACCTTCGAATTTGTCCTGCTAAACGGGACTATCGGAAATCAAACGGGAAGTTTAGAAGATTCAAGGATCTATCGAATCCATCGAATTGATCGGATGTTCTTTCTCGAGCGATTTTCGAGCGAAAATCGATCTTTCGGAAAGTTCCGTTAGGCTGCAGTTTTTTGTTTTGTTTTGAATAGAAATTTTTGTTTCACATTGTGGCGTGAAAATTTGCGAACTAATCTATCGGATTCCCCCACGATTCATTGCTCCACGTCTGAATTTTGACGTTTTGCAACGAAAAAATGCACGTGTATACGTGAATTTTCAGAGTACACGGAGAAGAAGGTTTCTTTGGATTTAATATACACGTTTGATTTGTATTTGTTTAATATAAATAATATAATATATCAAATGTCATGTATCCAGATGTGGGACCTCGCGTATTTTGCGTGTAGCGTAGGATAATGGACAAATAGAGATTCCGATAACATATCCTCGGAGCATCATTATCGCCAATTGTCACGCGGAAGGCTGGAAATCGTACCATCGGCCGTGGAATACGAGCGAGGTGGGAATTTTCTCGGGGACGGACGGGGAGAGGGGTGGTCAATAGCAATTTTCTGCCGGCGATTGTCTAATCTATCGAAAACAACACGCGAGGAGAATGTTTCTGTTTCTCATTAGCGACTCCATTAGCGGAATGCTCGTGCACGATATTAGGACGCAATGTAAATTGGTAGGATTAAATGCATCGGACGATTGCATCAATCTCATTAAGCGACGCGCATAATGTTTGGCAAGAGAGATAGACTGATAGAGGCGGAGAGAGACAGAGAGAAAGAGCGAGAGAGATAGGAGGAAAAGAGGAAGTGAGAGAGGGTGGAAGAGCAGCAGGCGCGAGCGGAGGCGGTTGGTTGGTAACGATGTTTGGGGATGCTCCGATAATTATCGAATCCCTCGACGTTGTTTGCGCCGGGCAAATCGAAAATAATAGAATATTCGAGCGTTCGCCCGTACAGGTTGCGATTTCGCGTCTTCCGTTCTTGGAATGCTTCACGCGATCGCCCGTATCGTTGGAAACTCGATTCGTCGTTGCGCGATACATGAAATATTCGTAAGAATTATTTCCTGCTATTTCTATCTTTCATTTCTCCAAGAAGGACAGATCGTTCTGAAATGTTTCACGGTTTCGCGGTATCACACGAAGGGGTATTTTCTTCCTCGGAAAGATGATGCGTCGAGTTAAAACCGTGAAATCGTCGGTCCCTTAAAAATAATAAAATGCAGCTCGCGTACGAGTCTAAAACGATACTCAATTTCGAATGTAAACAATGAGAATCGAGAAGAAACGAAGCGAAACGCGCAAATACGCGCGGCAGCGTTCGAATGACCAGTTTCGTTCTTTAATATCGCGAATCCCTCTCCTGCTTTTCTGTTTGCGTCGGCGCCGGTTAATCTGATTATTGCGTGCATTCCACAGCCTTTGCGTAACGGAAGTCACGGAAAGCAAACAGAAATGCATGGAGAGAAAATCTACAGGGTGTTTCGTAACATGCGGGCATAATTTCAGAAATTAATTCACGACACAAGAACAACATGAAAAGAACTTGCGGGCTTTTTTGCGTTACTTTTGTGGCCTGAATTTATTTCTTGAAATTATGCCCACATGTTACGAAACCTGCCTGCGCATGCGATCGAGATGTGTCTCTGCTATATCCGCGTCTCTCTTCTTTTCTCCGTCGCAACGTAGGTGGGATGATTAAAGACACCTGTGTGTCGCAACGCCACGGAACACGAGTGATTTCTGGTCGTCGCGGGTGTTCGCGTTCTGACAACGCTCTCTGAAGCGAAATAAACGTTTATTCTTCAGTCGAGCACGACATGCCGTCGGCAACGAAGCAATCGAAATGCATTCTGCACCCGATTGACTACGCAGTCGCGGACATCACGCTCGGTGCATAAATCTAATTCAACGCACTCCGTCCGCGCACAACAATTCCATTAGATTCTAAACTTTTCAATTAGTACGCCTCGCTCGTTTGTCACTTTGAACGATGCTCGGAGCACGCCGCGATTTTTCGCACGCGATTTCCCGCCGCGCCACAAATCGTGCGACCCGACGGGGTGCGACAGTCCGCGGCTCGCCCCTCCCGCCGAGCGCTCGCGAGTGAATTGGTGGGACATTAAATCTCGCCTGATTCCCGTCAAATTCCCGGAAGAGCGAGGTGAACCGCCGTTGCGCCGTTGGATCCACAGAAAATTCGCTCCCGTTTCCCCGACGGTCGCACGCTCCGTCGCTCCGCCGAGATCTCGGCAGTTATCGTGGGACGCGTCGCCGGACGCGAGATTGAACGACCGCCGGGGCGATTCGTGCCGTATGTCGTGTGATTCGACCGCGGGGCACCGTCGTCTGATTGCTGTCACAATGAGCTTATTATCCCTAAGAAGCTAGAGAAGTCTTAACGACTAGACTCGATCTTATCTACTTCATCGGTAATACGCTAATATACGCTGCGCTGCGTAGGTACAGTATAGCTTCCTAAGTATGCTAACCGCTAAGTGTCCTAAGTAGCCTAAGTAGTCCTACCTGTCTCGTGGTGAAAAAATTAGTACGCGCCCACTAATCGCGGCGCGCGCTAATCACGGTTGCTGTGCGTTACTGACGGGGGCCGATGCCTTCCGCGGTACCACGGGCGTGCACACCCGTTACAAAGGAGGACAACGGAAAGTCGATCGATCCTTCTCTTCTGAGAACCCTGAAAACGGAGACGTTGTTTTGCCCGACGAGCCCGACGAGCCATCCGAGTGAGATCCTTGAGCGAGCGCCAAAGCGTGCAAACGGATAATGCGCGACGGATAACGGTCCTGAAAATTGACGATCGGTCGGAGGGGAGGTGATAGCGCGCGAATAACGCGTTGAGGTCCGACGAGGTTCCTGGAAGAATATCATTGTATTACAATCGAGGTGGAAACAATTAAGCGTTGAACACGAATGACGAACTACTCGGCCGGTGAAACTTCCTCCTCGCGTCCGTCGAGCTTCGCTTCTTCCTCAAGGATCGATCTCGGTGCCGATGTCGTTGGCTGATCAAATGAAATCCGACGGAAATCGTAATGGCGTAGAAACTACGTACAACGCGATTGAAAAAGTGCTAAAATAGCGATTGGCTCTTCTATGGTTCGCTCTTTCTCTTGCCCCCTCTCTTTTTCTCTTCCCTCCTCTCTCTCTCTCTCTCTCTCACACGCTCGCTCGCTCTATCATTCTCGCAGTTCTCTTCAGTTTTCGTACTACATGCACACGCATCCTCTCACACACACTTACTCTCCTTCCTCTCTCACTGTCATCTCTAACTTTTTTCTTTGGTTTGTCTCCCTCCCCCCCCCCTTCTCCCTCTACACTTCTCTCGTCACTCGATTACGGCTTAATTATTACAAAGATGGTTGTACAATAATATAATATATAGACTCTGTATTAGTTACAATAATATCATAGCGTCTCCTATACGTCGCGTTCGGCCTTCCTCTTCGTCACTAATCGCGAGAATCGGAACTGATTAATGGAGTTCCTTCGGATTAACGTTTCCACGCTCGATACCTCCGTATAAGCGCAACATCCTCCTTCTCGTTATCACCGTTCTCTCGAGCGTGCCACTGCCGCGTACACGTGTGTGTATATATGTGTGTGTGTGTGTGTGTGTGTACAGTGTCGTGTCATCTTTATTGCTTATTGCTTACGTTAACGTTCGCGCCGAAGAGGGTCGCCGGAGAAACGTCGTCCGTGCACATCCCCGTCGCGATTCAACCGACCGGTCGCTCTTGCGAAACGAAGACCCCGCGCATTTCGCCGATTTTCCCGTCACGGTGACGTTGCACTCGCGATCCTTCGAGACTTGCGTCTTGAACAATTGGAACTTAGAACCCGGCTGGCCACGTTCGGAAAGAGGCGAAAATCTGACACATCGAGACGATCGCTCGTCTCCGTCTTCCGCGCGCGGAGGGACGCGGCGTGCGATTTCTCAGCGGACTCTTGACGCATGAATAAAGAAAAACGCGGTGAGCCGTGAGTCCCGAGGAGGCGGCACCGGTGACAGCCGGAGAACTGGAGCCAGGTGTGAGCCAGGCGAAAATCTCCGCGAGAGATCGGGGCAGGAAAAGAAGAGTCGTTTGCGGCACCTCGAAGTAACTCTCACTGGGATGACCCTACGAACTCGCTCCTGTGGCCACGGTGATAATAACGATCGAAATGATTTTACTGCTGTCCGGCGCGTAGACACGCTTCTCTCGCTTTCGGTGCGTTCGGTTACTATTATTCCTCCTGCGTGCTCCTCGCCGCATCTAACGAGATCCCTCGATCTTCCCTCGATCCTCGGCTAGCCCAAAAGGAAAGTAAAACAACGTATTTATCCTATTATATTATATACCGCCTAAGACCTCATCTCGGCTCAATTAGTTTCACTTGTGCGCGATACATCGCTCGGCCGCCTGCTCCTGCGAGCGGCTCACCGGCGATCACACTTCCCTTTATCGGCGTCGCTTCGTCAGGACGAGACGAGGAGAGACGCCTCTCGCTCGATCCGTCGAAGAACGGGCGCGGCGCTCGCGCCGCGCGTAATTACATGTAATTATCGATATAATTATTACGTGTCGTCGATTACTCGGTATTTATTGAGAGGGTACGTGCCCGAGAATGAGCAAAGAAATGAGCGTTCGCCCGGCGATGAAAATATTTACCGAGCGAATGCTCCCGCTTTTTTGCACTTATCGAGGGGATATAGTCTCTTCGAATAGTATTTCTCTCTTTCCTCTTCCTTCCTTTCTTCTCCCACCTTCCTTCGTCCGTCTTAAAAAGTAACGATCGCGCTTCCTACTGGCTAGAACGAGAGAGGACTCCGACGGACGAGATCCTACGGCGAATCGCGTCCTCCGTCCTTGATCGAGAGGCTCGCGTCGATCGTCGCGATACCGATTATCGTGATATGGTCTAACCCATAAAAATCGCTTAATAACTCATCGTTAGTCTCGCGCCGACTTCAATTAGCTAGTGCCTAACGCGCCTACGTCCGGTAAAAAAAGCTACCGGCCGGGGAAAACTCACGCTCGGTATTCTCTCATCGCGTCGGCTCGCGCACACTGCCGTCGCCGATCGTCCGTTCGCAACCGTCCCGATTCGCCTCTTCGAGATCGAAGAAGCCGTCGATCTCGAGAATTCAACGATCACTGATTTCCGTTGTTCCTCTTCACATTCTTCTCCGTCCGATTCTCCGCGGCGACGACGACGGGATAGCTGGCTTGGTGGTTGCCTCCTCGCTCGCTCACGAAACCGACGATCGTACGAACGCGAGTTTCTCCCGACAGCTCGGAGAAACTAACAGAAGCCACGATCACGAGTGCATCCGAACCCGTCGACGGCTTCTCCTCTCTTCCCCTACATCTCATCCTCATTCGCGGCCGAAAATCACACTCTCTTCACCCTCTTCAGCTACCCCCGTTAAGCCCGGGCGCACCGGTCGACCGGTCGGTCGATCGCTCGCGTCGCGCCACGGCTAAACTCCCCATCACCAGTATCTCCCGGTCACGACCACTGAGTGTCCGACACCGCTATTGAGTCACATCCTTAGCTGATTTTGAGTAGGTCGCGCTTTCGATTAGAATCACCTGAATATCGCGGCGACCGCCGTCAGCAGGACGATCGTCAGGTACGTCGGTCGGCCGATCCGCCCACTGTTCGCTTCCATGCATTGACCTGGAACAAGACAAGAGTGACGAATTCTTAATACCTCGCGGAAACGAGGAATAGATTCGCGTCTGTATAGAACATTTCTTGGAATCTAATTGGGATCCGGTCTGATTTCCCGAAATAATTATCGATTACAGCTGGGGAATCTACGCAGGTCTTACACGTGTAATGTTTCAAACGTACACAGTACAAATTTGGTGTTAAATTTGACACATTTTACATGTCCCGCGTAAATTTGTGTGTTAACATAACACACAAGGTAAATATATTGAATAGTAACGCAAATATTGTGTCAAAAATTAACACAAAATTAATATCCATAATATGTTAATCGACTGAAATAAAAAATGTGTTATTTTAACTCACATGTGTTGAACAACGACTCAACACAAATATATATATTGAGATAGCATAAACAATATGTTAAATTATCCAGTTACATTACAAATCTAACGCACAAATTTTAATAAGAATCGATTTTAACACAAGCATAAGATATTTTTAACTGTGTACGATTCTGAGTAGGAAATATGAACCTATTTCGTAAACCCAATGTTTTTCTTTGTGCGGCCAAATGGCTGCGACATCGTTTTCAAAGCCTAAAAACGTCGTTCCAATTTTGCTGCTACAACTTTGGACTAAAACGTCACGATGACGTTGTGGCAATAACTGTGCCAGACGAAAATTCTGCGATTTAAGCTGCGATAACGTTATCGCAGCCGTTTTACAGCTTCGTGCGCTACTCGGCTCGGCTTTGGCGATGAAAATCGCACGCCGCAGTTAATCAGCAGAAAAGAAGCTTCGTCCCATTTTTTAGACAGACGGAAGAAACAGAATGAAAGAAGTAGATGCCCCCAATTGACATCGTAATGATATAACCTATTTTGCTACAACTTTAAGCGTTCTAATCAGAATTTATGCTGTATCCGGGAGAATCCGGGAAAATTCCCATGCGGTCGGTGTTATCTTGGCGGTGCTTGAAGCGACGATAACTCACCGTTATTATACATATTATACACACGTCCGAGCAAAATCAAGACCGCCGGACGTAAAACGGATGATACATAATACATAACATAATTAATGCGAGGATAATATATCCTCCATATTTAACGGTTACTTCGCGCCTACGAGATAGCCTTAGGTCTAGCGACGCATAATTCAGCGTTTATCAACGCGCTGTCGCAGTCTATTTGTCACGGAGTGCCGGCGCGAGTGTCGCGCCAGATTATGCGTGGCTGTCACGCACTCCCTGCGACGAGATTTCAAGCGACGCGCAATGGATGACAATCGCTGACTCTGCGATTTCGATTGGATGGCGCGGCCTGATGTCAGCCCGGGGAAGTTATTGGAGTATGCTGAACCGTTATGCCGCGGAACGGGGGGAATTTCGTTCGTCGCTTCTTCCCGGTTTTCGGACACGGCCGCTCGTGAATGCCTCGCAACATTTCAACCCTCGTCGCTTTTCCTTTGATCAAGTGGAATACGCCGGGACATTGTTCGCGCGCGAGAGAGGAACGATCTCGGAAATTAACCAAGTAAACAAACGCTAAACGTTTCGCCGGAACACGTCCGGGTGAGATTATCGAATTATCGGCGACGCCCTTTTCAGCGCGTTTTGTACATCGCGCTCTCTTACGTTCTTAGTGCTCTCGGTTTATTAGCATAGTCGGGATAAAATGGACGCGACTACGGGCCAGGAAGGGTTAATGAAGGTTGCCACTTACCGGTGCTGGTAGCGTTGAAGGCCAACAGCGGCGGGGGCGGCGGGATGCCCCTCTGACAAGCCACGGGGCTGGCAGTCAAACTGACAACTCCGCCGCTCTCTTTGTACATGAAGCACAGTCTACGGCTGTTCCTGTAGGGTTGCGGCCTGTTGTTCTCGCTCGACCAGGCCGTTCTGCGCGCCAACGGGGTGGCGATCACGAACTGCGTGCCCTCGGCGTCGAACCATCTACCGTGGCAGGAGTAGGCTGGAAAGCAGAGAGAAAACACGAGGCTGCCAAAGGTCTTCGCGAAACGCGACGTTGGGGCTCGGAGAAAGTTTCAGGATAATAATGGGGGGAAGGAGGGGGGGCGCCGACCGGGCGGATCTCGAGGCCGTTACCCTTCGAGTGCCATTATTCGGCGAAATAAACTTCGACGGTGTCGAGGGTCGAGAATATCTACGCAGACGAGAAGAGAGAGAGAGAGAGAAAGAAAGAGAGGGGGAGAAAGTGAGAGAGAGAGAGAGAGAGAGGCCGCGTTTCTTCCATCGTGGGGGCGGACGTGCCTCGCGGTTCTTTCAGACATTCAGGCATCTCGATCTTAATGCGGAATTGCAAGCGAGGGGCGGAAGGGTCGAGTATCACTTCGACTTTCGTAATGAAGTTACGACATTACCGGGATTGATAAACGGGCGCAGACACGGGCGAGTTCGGGCGCGATAAGGCGCGCGCGCGCTAATATAGTCGCATTAACGTTGAAAGACTCGAATTCGTCATACTGTCTCCGGCTGATATTTCCACGAGCGCGATAAATGTCGTGTCTTCGGTGGACTTTCGACTAACGTTGACTCGATTAATATTAGCTACGCAAATCTCGCGAGAGAGAGAGAGAGAGAGACTCTTTCATTGAGTTTTTCATCGTTTCTTATCTCTTTTCGTAGAGGCGGGACGAAAGTTCCTCGGGTCGAGAAAAAAATGTTGAACTGCTTATACATGTGTATCTTTTTGAGCGGTCATCAATTATGTTTCCTGTGAGCGTCTAATCGATATTAGAGGGGAAAACTACGAGAGAAAGGCAGTTTCGTAACATTTCATGTAAAAGACGGTTCTTACTTTTTTTGTACTGATGCGTCCTGAATTTATCATCTGTTGTTGTTTATGCATCCTTCAAAATGTTCATCTCCTCAATCAATTCAGATTTCATCTTTTTAACGGTAACAATAAGATACCAATCTAACATTAACGAATTTCGAGAAATTAAATATGGTAAACGGTATTTTAGAAGCTGAACTTTAAGATAGTTGATCTGTGAACAATACTATTAAAAGCGAAATGGTAAATGCGAAACGAAGAAGCTCAACAAATCTAAAGGTTTATAAATATGATTTGCTTTACAGCTTTGTCATTAGAAAATATTTTAACATAAAATAATATTAATCCAACTTACATAATGTTTAAAACTCATGAAGAAATAATCGATTTTCGCGCTTTGACGTATAACACTTTTTGCTGCTTGTACTAACTATTACTCCAATTATCTCAGCTTCGATCTAGTTAATCTATTTCTAATCTAACATAAATAAACTTTACGCCTGTGTAAGTCGTGTCTCGAATACGCTGCTTCGAAATAATTTCTAATAAAGAAAAAGAAAAAATTTACGGACCAGTTACCATAAAGGTGCGGGCGTGCGCGCGAACAGTAAAGTTCCACTCTTCTCTCACAGATTAATCTCAATATAAATCATCCATCAAACTATCCGCCTATGTATTTATCCACCTATCCATCTATCTAATCCCAACGGCGAGCCCTTCCGTTAAGAAAGACACCCCTCGCTCGGATTCTCCGCTCGAGATGCCTTGAAAAAATAATTCTCCCTCGTCACACGGTATGGCGCTCGTGCGTTCAACGGGCCGGGCCCTCGTTGCGATCGCAGCGAAGAGGAAGAAAAGGCAGATAATTACCGGTGATAGCCGCGTCGTCGTCGACGCAGTCACTTTGAAACTCCATCCTGTCTGCCGTGGAGCAGCCCACGGTTAAGGTCGTCACCTCGGAGCTGCACCTCGAGTCATCTTCGTCCCTCTTCTCCCGCCTTTCCATGGTGTCGTCGTCCTTTTCATGCTCCTCGAGCTCCCTCTTCATCCTCACGAGATCCTTATAGGTCATACCTTTGTCGGCCGGACTCTCCGGCGATCTCTTGCGCGGCAGGCTTTCTCCCGGCTGCAGATAATCCCCGAAATAATCGTCCTGCACCTGCAGCGTGCTGCTGGTCCACGAGTCGTCCAGATCGACCGTGCCGACGTCGTCCGGTTGAAAGTCCTCGACTTTCGGATATCTCCTCGATCTGTTCTCTCTGTAATCCACCTCGGCGTCTTTCGGCGTCGACGTTCCTCGCCGCGCCGCCTCCTCCTCCTCCGACGCTCTCGTCCTCTCCTTACTCGCCGACACGTCCCCTTTGATCTCCCCGGCTTCGCCGAGACCCTTCGCGTACCTCGTGTCGCGTTTCTCGAGGCGTCCGACGTCGCGACGCAACCTCCTCGCCTTGGCCCGCGAGCTCTCCGCGCGTTGCTCCAGCTCGCTGCCAGACCTCCTGACCTTCAGGCGTAAAATCCGCTCTCTCAGCAGGTCCTCCAGCTCCGAGGACCGCCACGACGACGCCTCCTCCGTCGGTGGAACGTTGTAGTCCTTGCGGCCGTGGTTACCGCCGTGATTCGAGCGCGCTCGCCGACCCATTCTCTCGTGGACCAGGTACTCGTTGTTGGCCCGTCGTTTCTCCACCTCGTAGTCGAGCTTCCGAGCCCGCCGGTCCTCGTTCCGCTCCTGAGCGTGACGCACCTTCTCGCCGTCCCGGCGCGCCGCCAGCGACTCTTGGTGGCCCCTGCGGCTCTCGCGCGTGTTCCGTTGATTCCGATTCACCTCCGTCACCGTGAATTTGCCGAGATACGGGCAGTTACGTGGCTCCGGGGAACTCGCTGCGACAGAGAAGCAAGCGAACGCGAAACGTTACACGAGATATATCCATGGCACCGTATCTCCCTTTAAAAAGTGACGCAAGTCGGCGCGTGTAAAATTTCAGGAAGCGAATTACTAAGAGACGCGGGACGTTATCGATACTCCCCGAGACGTACCCCCACGAGGGTAGTTACGCGTCTCGCGAGCATCTATGTCTTTCTTCTCCTTCAGTCAAGTTACGTATCGATCCGCGGATATCTTTATTTATCGCGGAAGCGAAATCGCGCTTTTCGGCTTGCGTCGCTTTTTAATCGGGACTGCGGCATTTGCGAGGTCATCTGCAGCCGACGTAATTGGAAGCGACGGGATATTCACGTCGCGTGAATGGGGAGATAAATAAGATCGAAAACAATTTACAGCGGGAGAGGTTAATTTTATAATGTGACAAGAATAAATTTGCAGTATCATTAATGACGCGACAGTATCGCGTTTCACTCGAAACATTAATACAACACTTTTGTGTAATTTGCGATTTACGATTATATTTTATATTTATGATAAAAAGCAGGCCTGATTTATGATGCGTGGCACACGGTGCACGGGATGAAAAATGACGACGCGATAAATATTTATCGTTATAAAATAACAAACGCGCACGGTGCGCGCGACGTTATTATTACTGTTATTATTAACGTCCGGCGCATAAATACTAATCAACACAGATGGAATCGCGGATAAAAAGAGTCGGTCTAAATTAATGATACTATCTGCGAAAGTAAAGCACCGATATGCTCGTAATTTCTACGGCCTAAGAAGAAACTTTCAAGTTAAGTCTTAAACGGAATTTTAAATGCCGTAACTTTAGAAGTTGGGACAAGAAGCTCGACGAAGGTTATCGATCCCTGCTAATGATACTTTCTTGTTAGTGAGAAAGTACGGTATATTTTAACCCGGGAAAAGGAAAGTTTCATAAAAAAAAAAAAAAGAAACCCCACCAATGTGCGAGAGTCTATTCACCGGGCTCACGCATAAAATCATATTATATTTCATTATATTTTGTAATACCCCTGAAAATATTTCTATACATTTCTAAATTGGCGGAGGACCTGCACGCCTCGATCGTCGTTTTTTTTGCAAATCGGAACAAGAGAATTTTGGGCCGAATTTTTGAAACGCGTTGAATCTTGCTGTCACAAATCTCATTTGCTCGTATCGTTATTCCGATATTTTTGCAAGCTCGCACGTATTTACCGATAGCGCGCTTCGTTCCATCGCGCTCTTCCTCTCTTTCCATTTTTTTTCTCTTCCCGCATATATATAATGCAAGGTACGGTAAATACTGCCAATCACGTGCAAACAAGGGAAACGCATTGTGGTCTTAATGGAAGCTCGTTAGAAGATCGCAGGAAAGGAAAAAAAGGCCGGCTAGAAGCCTCAGGAAGGCCCAAGGAAGCAACGGAAGACGGCGAACGGCTATAACGAGAGAGCGTAAATCGACCGTAGGCAGGCACAATGCGAACTCTAACGAGACAAATCTGACGACGCACCCTCGAGCCAAGAGTGCTACCCTCTCCTCGCCCAGCGAATTGCATTATCGTTTTATCTCGATACTACGGTTTCGAAACCCGTAGGCTAACGACCAACTTTTGTCCGCTGTCTCGTACGTTTCGTTGCGAGAGAACGCGCTTCCGATTAATCGAAGAGAACGCCGCGCGACCCTCGCGCGAGAGTAAAATGAAAAAGGAACAAGGAAAATACACGGGTATACCCCGATTACCCCGTAGGGACAATACGGCGAAAGGTTTAATCGCGATTTAACGTCGAAAGGGTTGAAAAAGTTCGGGACGAGAAGGGAGCCGGAAAAATTTGCATTTACTTACTCTTAATTAGAAAGTAAGATTCCGTTGCAAAAGTAACGGGGATCTCACTTTCTAATTAAGTCCCCCCCGTGAGACCCGCTTTTTAGCAACAATGCTACTTCATTTCGTTTGCTCGAAACTTCATTATGAAAACACTTGGAAACTATAAGAAGGTGACACGTAAACCGGGAGAAGTCGGATTAATTATTTTCTGCGCGGTGCGTTTAATTACTGTGACATTTATACTGCAAGAAAGATCCACGGTAATGAAATCCTAATAGAAGCAAGGCATCAAAATTGACATAGGCACGGTAAACCGACATACCAATTTCTCGATTGTAAAGTACTGAACTCTGCCGGACAAAACATGAATTTCGTCTACCGTGTAGTTGGAGCTGAAGTGGCAGTTTCTTTTTGCAAGCGCGCTCGATTGTGTTAGCGTTGTTTGATTTTTCGTTCTGCTGCAGTTTCGTTGAACTTTCTTCTTGTGAGAATTAAAGCAACAAATCAACGGCAAGTAATTTGACAATGATTATTTAACAATGCTATTTTATAATGTGAATTTTAAACTTTTTAAATCACTTTGGATCTTGTGCCAATCTCTGTATTCTATCACCGGCCAGAAAAGTTAGGTTTAGGATGTTTTGTAAACATACCTGTGTTTACTGGTATTTTAACCGACATACCTGAACTTTGTTGTGAAATGTTATTTTACAGAATATAGTTGAAGCTATCAGTGACGGATTTTTTTCCTGTTTCTCTTGTTTATTTGTTTAAGGTAATTGGAAAAAAGAAGTCAGGGATTCCTTCCACATAAAGTAAAAATAAAAGAGCAATATATTTCGATTAAAATTTTTACATTTTTCAAAAATACATGAGATTAAAGATAATATGTGGACAGAAGAAATCCTAGATTTAGGTAAATATATAATTACTCCAATACTCTTTAGTAAAGTCTTATTTGATCCAAGTAAAAATTTGCTAAGAAGTATTGGGGTAATAATTTACTTCAATCCAGCCTTTTTTTCTGTGTAAGGACATATAATATATATTAATAATAAATATAATAATAAATATACAGAAAAATATAATTTCAGTGTTTTTATTTTATTTTTTTACAATTTCTTATAGATATTATGGGTATGTCGGTTTTGGGGCCTGATTCCTAAAAGCAATTCTCAAACATCTTAAAAAATAGTTATTTATTAGGAAATATATAATCGTTTTCATAAGATTACCATATATTTTAGTAGAGAAGCGTTACTGGTTTGCATTCATGCATATAATATTTAATTTTATACCTTCAACAGACCTTTAGAGCGCAAAAACAAAATGATTTTTCGGTTTTCGTGTTTTTTCCTCGACATTAAAAATTCTCCAGACCACAATGACGAACTTTTCGATCTCGACGACAACGTCGTGTAGCACGGCGCTGCGTTATTTTTTATGGGTAATTACACGCGATTTTACGGCGATGTGGTAGCGAGGAGACCCGATGACGCAGGAGACTTGATTTTTCCGATTCGTTAGGCGATCGTCGGCGCGAAGGACCTGCCCGAAAGGGACGGTACGTTAAGAGCGAGTTCACGGGGTCGCCGGGAGTCAGAATCCCTTTGGTCCACCTCGACTCCTTTGTGCTCGATCGGAAGGGCGAGTCACGGACTATGCTGATCGTTATTGTATCGCTGCGAAGCGAAACTTTAGCCCGTCAGAACACCGTGAACTTCTGGACAATAAAGCACGCTTCTTAGCTACACCCTGCGGGGTTACCTCGATCGTGCGAGCTTAATTCCGACAGATTTTCCAGGTGGATTTTCCAGAGTTTTGTCGCGTCGTCGTCATCGTCGTCTTTCTCCCCGTGAAATGTCATGAAATGTCGTACCAGATCGCTCCGCTTAAACGTTACGGTATGTTATCGGAGTAGTATACCGTACATCGCAAATTAGGGTTGCATAGGGGAGGAAGATATCATCCCTTATCTCGATTCGCTAGTCTATCAGGCAACGATGAAGTTTCGTGGGGTCCGGATGTCCCGAAGGACATAGCTGTATACGGATTGTCAAACGTCGCACGCGTGCCTGTCTCGGAAATAGCCCCCGAAAATAGATTCCGTTTCTACAGTCTTATATATTTTAATGCTCTACTAAAATATCGTACGATACTTTTGGACATCCTGTATGTAGGATATCATACACGCGTCGATACACAACGGCCGTCCGACTTTGAGCGCGCCGCGTACCTGCCGTCTGGAGTCATAACAATACTCGACACGCTCGAGCGAAGACGTACGACGACGTCGCTCGTTATTTTCACTTTTATTAAGTCAATCATGTTATCGTGACGGGCATTCCCGATATTCGCGTCACGATAGACGGGATCGTCGTGTGATAACTTGGTGTTGTAATGTAGTTCGTAAAGTGAATGACTATTATATGTGACTTTCGGCAAATTTTCGCGAGAAATACTCGGAAGTCGGAAGGCGCCTATTGTTCATTCGTCTAAATTGAATAACCCACTCGACTGCTGTAGCTAATCAAATGAACCGTTTCTTGTTTCAGGTGCAAGCTAGCGGAGCTTGCGGCCACACGCAACCGCGGTGTTCCAGCGGATGTTTTCCAGTTCCGGCCGAGGCCGTACCGGAGGATCCGGTTCGAGCCGAGCAGAGTCAGCTTGAAAGTAAGCTCCGCAAACTCGCTACGCTTTTCTATTCTAAACCGTTTAGATGGTAAACCGAGGCATATCAGAGTTAGAATGATTTGGATTGCGAGCGCAGAAAGTGACACCATTATCTTTACGCTTGCTTTACGCGAACACTTGTTGTTCGAACCGAGTTATTGAAATTCCTGCATAGAAGTCGATTCGAAATGGGAAACAGAAACAGATTCTATTTTGTCAACCAACGTTTCCCCGAAGATCTTTTCTGCTTTCTGCATATTTTACACCGCGATTGAACAGCCCGCGTGGAAAACACGATCTTTCGGTGAATTAAGCGATTAATCGCACGTACACACGCGCTCACTTTTTGTTCCCGAAATCTAGGACGATATCATTGACCGACTTTGGTCTCTTTCGCAAGTAGAAAACTATCGCAATTTTCGACTCGAGATTTTCCCGCCGGGATTTTTGACCGCGATTGAATTAGAAAATACGGTGACCGAGTA